TATTTCATCTTCAACGCCTTGATTTGTCATTCAATTTCTCTACAAGGAATGCCGCCTCCTGGACTTTTCTCTCTGCCCAAACATTAGTTATTTGAATTTGGCATCAAACATATTGAGTGGATCACTTCCCATTCATTTGAATTGTAGCAATCTTCAATTCATCGATATATCCAACAATTGGATCCGAGGTTGGTTGCCTACTTGTTTGAGCGTTGCATCGGATAAGAGAGTTGTGAAGTATGATGGGAATTGCTTGTCAACTGATTTGGGACATCAACATCCAGAATCATACTGTATACAAGTCCACATGAAGAGAAAAGAATCCAATGCTATGGATGTAACACTATTAGTAGGTGTCATTGGAGGAATTATTGTTGTTATCGTGCTTTTAGCGTTTGGATTTCTTCTTGTTTTTAGACAGTATTGCCATCGTGGAACATCAGAGCACCATTTACTGCATAAGGCAGTGCAGGATAACTCTGTGACCGGATTCTCCTCTGATATCCTAACAAATGCAAGTAGGTCTCTTGATCTATTAAAATTTTTATCTATAGTACAAATAACATGCACATTAGATCGCTTGAACTTGAGAACCCCCATCCCATGGGGACGAAACCAGGCATACTTTTTTTTTTTCAGTTCTAAAACTGAGAAATTTCTCAATTTTAGTCAAAAAGCACCTTCGTCACTTTCGTGTACCCGTCAAATAACACACTTTTTGAACCTTAGTTTGATGTATATCCTTTCCATGAAGGTTTTATTAGAAGCTTTTGGATATAATTCTTCACATTTAATGGCAATTTTAAGTGATGTCCTATTTTTTTCAGGGTTTATTTCTGAAGCATCAAAGTTAGGCATGGAAGGTATCCCATTGTGTCGATTGTTCTCTTTAGAAGAATTGATGGAAGCTACAAACAACTTTGATAAGTCTACCTTGATGGGTGAAGGTTCATATGGGAAGGTAACATCTAAACATATATTGTGCTCTTCATCTTTACAAAATGTATTGTTCACTATATTTATTTGTCTAAATTGCTTTTGTTAGTGATTTCACAATCAAAGAAAGTTACAAGAGACACATGCAAAACAAATATTTAGTATATGTCAATGTCATATATTTGAATATTATATATTCATTCTATTTCAAATATTTATTATCATCAAATTCATCAACCTTGGGTACGTTACTATGGTGAAAAAATAGAAGTGTGTCCCAACTTGTCCCCTATGTGTCCACTTGAAAAAAAGAAAATGGGACACTTCCTCTAGTGTGTCCGGAGCATGTACCCATGTTGAACACCAGTACGTGACCTCCAGAGAGGTGTCCGTGCTTCATAGTCTCCCTTTTATGCCATGCAATCTGTCAACTGCATGATAGTCAAAGTTACTGTAATGGCCTAACTGGTGGCTCAAATACTTGTACTTGGATCAAATTTCAAGCTCAGCTTACTTGAGCTCTGATCTATCCAGCTATGGTGGCTCAAATATTTGTACTTCTATTTCCATTTTAATAGTACCTCTTAACTCATCGCTTCTATTTTGGCAGCTTCACAGAGGAAGATTAGAGAATGGGACCCAAGTAGCGATACGATACTTGACTGTGTCGAAAAAATATACAATCCGGAATCTTAAACTCAGGTTGGACTTGCTTGCAAGGCTTCGGCATCCTCATTTGGTTTGCCTCTTGGGGCACTGCGTTGATAGTGGAAAGCGAGAGGAACCTAATGTGAATAAAGTCTATCTAATATATGAATATGTGCCCAACGGGAATTATCGGACACATCTCTCAGGTAATCTTGAAAACAACAAAGTAGTAATAGTTAGAGGCCATTCAAAGTCCAAAAACAGAATTTCAAATTTCATATGAACACTCAACCAAACATAGGAAATTTCATGAATTGGATAACACCATGAACCCCAAATTATAGGGTAGATAGATCGTATGTATCAATTGAAATATCAACTATTTTATACTCATTTATGTAGAGAACAGTCCCGAAAAGGCTCTCAAATGGTCAGACAGACTGGCAGTTCTAATTGGCATTGCCAAGGCCGTGCACTTTCTACATACTGGAATAATTCCCGGCTTCTTCAACAATCGATTGAGAGCAAATAATATATTGTTGAATGAGCATCGGATGGCAAAGCTGAGTGACTATGGTTTGTCTATTGTTGCAGAAGAAACTGATATATCCGAGGTATTTGTCTCCCTAGTATGTAGGTTGGTTGGTTGGCCTTGTGATAAGTCTTTTTTGTCCCCACTACCAACTGTAATAACTGATTTTCTTGATTTGTAGGCAAAGGGAGATGGTCGTCAATCATGGTATAGGCTCTTTTGGATCAATAACATTACTGTGAAGAAAGGGATGAGCCGTTGATTCTTCTTGATCGAAAACATTTAACCTGTTTGGTTGTACTTTTGTTTTCGTTTTCGTTTTCAAAAAAAAAAAAAAAACTGGTAAACTGTGTTTCAAAATAGTTTTCAATTTATTTTTATTTTTTTGAAAAACCTTCAATTTTTAGGAAATATCAAAAAGTTTTGACTTTTGAAAACTGTTCAAGCACAAAAATAAAAATATTATGAAAACAATGAGTTTTTCAAACTTTTCAATGTTTTTGTTCCTGTAAAATACGAAAAATGAAAACAAATAACAAAAACATAACCAAACATGTCTATTAGTTTTCTTTGTTGCAAATTTGATTGTATTAGTAGCTATTTTTCTTGGATATTTAAATATGAACATATCTTTGCAGGCAAATGAAATGCTTGGAGGATGATGTTTACAGCTTTGGATTCATATTACTCGAGTCGCTTGTTGGGCAAACGATATCTGCGAAGAGGGAGGCATTTCTGCTAAATGAAATGGTATTAACTGAACTTTGGCCTTCCTAACTTGTCTTCCCAACTTCCATCAATATCTTGATCATTGTTATCAAATCACAAACTGAATCGTAAATTGTTTTGCTAAAATAATAAATCGTATTGAATCGTGAACCGTTAGATTCATCTTGTTTAAAGTATAATATGTAATTACATACTCCCTTTGTCCCATTTTGTTAGTTCTATTTTAAAAGTCAAAGTACCATTTTTAAATGGTAGAAATATATTAAAAATTGAAAAAGAGAAGGGCATTATTGGAATACAAGTTATAAAATTTGAGTTATAAAATTTGAATTCAAATGTAATGATTACATGTCTCTTAAAAAATTAAAATTTTCAAAAGGGCTATTAAGATGGAACCCAGGGATTATATGTCTATACATGTACAAACAGAAAATGCCAGAGGCCCCAACATTTCTACAAAATATTTTACTAAATATCTCACATGAGTGTGGGTCCCACATGTGTGTAGACTCCGCACTCATGTAAGACATTTGATTATATATTTGGTAGAAATATTATATCCCTAACATTACTCTATACAAATACATGCGGTTTGAAATGAAATAAATGTCAATATAACTAAATTTGTTGTTCCCAAGGCCAACAAAAGTTCATATAGATATAAAACCTTGTATATCGATGGAATTAATTAAATTCTTTTTTATTTTTTGAGAAAGGCTAAAACTACATCGTTTCATGCATTACGTAAATAAAATAAAAGCATAATTGAATCATAGTGAACTCTGCAAACTAAATTAGATGATATAACAGCAAGATTATTCGAATAGTCTTAGTTGAAACTCGTATTGAATATATGAATTGAATCATGAATTGTGAAACTGTGTTCTGCATTTCATAGGTGTCCTTTGGAAGCCAGGACAGCCAGAGGCGAGTAGTGGATCCCCTTGTACTCGCCTCTTGCGCTCAAGAATCATTGTCAATTGTCGTCTCTGTAACAAACAAATGCATTTCTCCTGATTCATCGACTCGCCCCTCTCTTGAGGATGTCCTCTGGAACTTGCAGTATGCAGCTCAAGTACAGTCAACTGCCGATGGTGACCAAAGATCCAATGCATTACATTCATAAATTGTTGCAAAAGTTGGTTCAAACATCATTATTTTGTCGCAAAAATGGCTAAAATTTTCTTGGCCAGTGTCAGCAAATATAGAATGCCTGGCTTTGCAAAAACACATGAATGAACGTGGCCCAACTTTTGTACTTAGTTTTAGTTACTAAGAATTGTAATGTATATGAATATGTTGAATGCATAGTTACTTACTCATAACAGAGATCAAATGGTGAGTAGAAGTTTATGTAAACTTAGGTTTGAAGCATTCATTCCTCCATAAAGTGTTTATTTCTTGAGATCTGTATGAAATATTTGAGGGAAAATGAATTATGCAGAGATATAAAGTGATTATAAAAAATAAAATTGAATTAAAAAATCTTTAGCTTTTGAAACTTTTTTTTGCCTTTGATGACTTTTCTTTTCTTCCTATTTTTGAAAGTGCGAGATTGTAACACATCATCAAATTTAAAATTAACTTCCATCATCAAATTTAAAATTAACATCATATAAAATGTCATGTCAATGTAAATTTTAGAACCACACTTAACCTTTTTTTGTAATTTAAAAATAAAAATTTAAGATTAATTAAAATTTAGAATTAATTACACCATATCAAATATCAGTAAATATGATTTATCCCATGAATTTTAATATAGTACATTTTTCTATCTAAATTTATAATCTAAACACAATTTTAGTGACGGATCCATGCCATTCTAAAATTTTCCTTTAAAATGCAGCATGTGAACTAACCGCAAGTTTTATTTCAATAATTTAGATTGACAAAAATGCGAAAAACTGAGACTCGAATGGTACGGAAAATATTATCTTACCGTTAAGAGAATAAAAAAAAGTCCTAAAACGACGTCGTTTTGAGATTTCGAACCATTCGAGCCTTGATTTTTCGAACTCTGTAGCGGTGTTCTTTAAACTGATTACATTATATTTTAAAATACTGTCATCCTTTTTTTCTAAGATGAATTTAATGAAATAATATATAATTACAATTACAATTACAATTCAATTAGCTCAGATCAACACAAGTGAAAAATAAGCAAGTCACGCCAAGAAAAATCCCATTTTCATGGCTTCTCAATTGCCAAAGCTATATTACAACCTTCAATATTATTCTCTCTCATTGTTATATATATTCAACCAGCAATTGGCAAAGCCAAAACTCTATTAAACAAGCTCACCAGGTGAGAGTTAGTAGCAGAACCTACTAAAATAACATTTATTAAGTAGCGCCAAGACAGATTACATTCATAGGCAGAGCTGGTAAACAACAAAGATAAGAGAGAGAATCACCAGTTGTTATTAACTTCGACCCAAAAGCCCAAAATCTGAAGTTGCAACACCCACCCAGAAAACTACGTGGTCTCAATTCTCAAGCATCGCTCGAACCCTCATTGGAAGTCCATAAAGCCGAATGAATCCAGCAGCATCGGCCTGATCATAGATCTGCCCGCTCTCAAACGATGAGATATCTTGCCTGTATAGACTATAGGGGCTTTTTCGTCCAGTCACAGTAACTGAACCTTTGTACAGTTTGAGAGTCACCGATCCAGTGGTAGTTGCTGTGATCTTCTCCATGAACGCATCCATTGACTCGCGAAGTGGGTCAAACCACCTGCCTGCGTACACCAGCTCGGCATATTTGAGGGCAAGGGTGTCTTTTACTTGAATTGTTTCACGATCAAGCGTTAGAGATTCAAGTTCGAGTGCAGCGGCAAAGAGGATGGTCCCACCTGGAGTTTCATAGACTCCACGACTTTTCATACCAACAAGACGGTTTTCCACCATGTCGATGCGGCCAATTCCGTGTCTCCCACCAATTTCGTTTAGCTCGGAGAGAAGAGATGCAGGGGAGAGCTCCTTTCCGTTCACTGAAATGGGGAGTCCTGAAACTATCCCAATTTCTACATATCTGCGTGGGATTCGAGCACATGTAAAGGAAATAAACAAGTGAATAAATCAAAAAGAGCAACTAATGTAAAGGAATTGAAATGCACATTAAACAAGAAACTTACTCAGGTTGGTTAGGTGCATCTTCTGGGTCAACGGACATCATGTACATATCCTTCTGCGGCTCATTTGCTGGGTCTTCCAGGATGTCTCCCTTCATTGCAAAACCAGACACAGAGAGAGAGAGAAAACAAAGAAATTCTTAGTTCATACTTCTATGAAAGAATTAAGACCTCGGATTTTTTTTAATAAGTAAAATTCACTAATCAAATGCCACAAAAGGGGCGCAGACTGTACTGTACACACCGTATACAAAAAGTAAGAGACCAAAAAATCCCAGGTAGGCATGTATTCAATACTAAAAAGACACAAAATCAAGTATGGAGAGAGGACTGTTCTCCCCAAGCCCAAAAAAAGAATGGAGAAAAAAATAGTTCCTTTCAAACACAAAATAGACTTCTCACAACTATCAAAACACCTCTGGTTTCTCTCATTCCACATACGCATGTAAGGCAGAGAGGAACTGCTCCCATGCCATCTGACATCTACTCCTCAGACAAAAGGACAATAAAAAACAAGGGAAGAAGACAATAACAAGATTGAGTCAACTAAATCCCATAAGTTTGACTTGTAACAAAATAACTGACATCAAGAAATTTGTATACAAAAATTCAGCAAAAAGTACCATACAAGAACATCTATATAACAATTACTAAATTGAGGCTCCATTTTTTTCTCCTTGACAATTCCAAACAAACATGTTTCAAAGGTTTAACATGTACATTAGTAACTATAAGATTTACAGTGACAATCAAGAAAAAAACAAGGCACGCACGACCTGTCTTGACACCAGTCCTCATAAATGACTTGCAGACTTTAACTCCAAACAATCATCACTCAAGATCAACAAACAAAACTACATAACCTTAATTCCAGAAATTGAACTGTGTATTGAGCTCAGCATAAACCAAACAAATAAAATAAAGAGGAAAAAAGAAAAGAGAGTGGGGGTATTGTTGCCAACAACTAATGTTGGCAACAGGATATATACTATAAGCAGCCAAAAACCCAAAACAAAAACTTGCAGAATACCTCGTGACTGAGGTGCCATAAGTTCCTGTCTCTGCTGTAAATGGATTTCTTGGTCACTGGGACAGGTACATTATGTTTCTTAGCATATTCAATAGCATCTTCTCTCCCTCTGATTTCCCATTCCCTCCAGGGAGCCACAACATTGAGTTCAGGATTTAGAGCAAAGAAAGTGAGCTCAAAGCGAACCTGTATATATAAAAAGGCAGGACTGTTGAGTAATTTACAAGATCTGCCATGTTAACTTTTAAAAACAATAACAAACACTGATTTTTTTTATTTTTTATTTTTTTTGGTTGCAGAAGCATGCCTGATCGTTTCCCTTCCCAGTACATCCATGAGAAACAGCATCAGCTCCAACTTCTCTAGCAACATCAACCATGGCCTACCATTGAAGATGAATGATAAGAGTGTATAACTTGTACAAGACAACTAAAACAGATCCTCAAATCTGGTAAAATTCAAACTCAAGAGATCATAAAAGCCAAGCAGCAACGCAGATCCTCCATCGGAAAAGAAAACTTGTGCTTTACATTTTGAGATACTAAATACATTAAAAGATAGGGAAGAAACCCAACTATATGAAACAGCAAACAGATGACACAACAGCCACTGGTAGGAAAATGATTCACTTCTCTAAAAGAAACAATGGCAAGTGAGCATCGTTTTACCTACAAATGTTCACAAGCTTTACACTTGTCACAACTACCTCAATCCAACACATTGCCAAGAAATTAGCTGAGTTTGACAATTTGAACCATCAAAGAAACATTTCTATACTGAAGCATCCGTATATGGGAAAAGAACATTACTTCTACATTAACTAGTAATTTGACTACCCTCCATCCCTTCCGCCACCAAACATCCCGACTCTTGATTAGAAGGGGATTATTGTAAGGCATATGTTTCCTTCCTAGATTGTCAGGTAGGATACTGAGATGTCCATCTGAATTCAACTGAAAAGGCCAATTTGTTATAGGGTGCTGCATTCATCTCTGAAGCATAATATCATGTGCCAAAGAGTCAAACTTCAGCCCCATTATAATAATAAAAAAAGAAGAAGTGTTTTTAATCTAATTCCAATGAATAGAAGGAGATACAGTAATACCATGTAAAATTTAATGTATAAAGAGAAATAGAGAGAGAATAAATTGTATGTATTATTGATTTATGTGTAATGTTATTGTTGATCTATTGAATGTTACAATGATTCCTATATATAGAAGAGTAGGTGGTAGTAGGTGGTAAATGGAGTAGGTAAAGTGGAGGTGGTAGGTGGAGTAGGTGAAGTGGAGGTGGTAGTGGTGTAGTGGGTTAGGTTTAGTGG